GGAATAGGACACCCAAAGGGTCCTATTTATAGACCATGAAGGGGTGTGGTTGAGACCAAACCATGCACCATTTCCAAACAATGCACCTTTATGAAAAGGTGTCTATTCACTAATGGTTGAGGTCTTTTTCGTAATTTCTCATTCATCCGATATTGGTTTTCGAAATGCCAAATATACCCTTCAATACATGCAGAGAAATCAAAATTCTCTTTCGGGGGCGTTGCCCCCGACCCCCCACGAGGGGCGCTGCCCCCTCGACCCTCGCGACCTGACCGGTCAGGTCGATCCCCGTTTGTGCGCCCCGAAGCGGCGAAGTGGCAAATAATTTTGCCTAAACGGATTGAGTCGAGCTTTTGAGTATTTGGCCGAATTCGATACAAACTTTAATCGATTTTCAATTCTCAATTTATTTAACCAATATCCAACATGCCATACATCCACCGCTGATGTTCTGAGCGACTCCTAGGGAAAGGTCATCACATCCCAGAACTGTTAACACATTTTCATTTGACAAGCTGTTAGGTGTGGCGCGTAGATTGACCCAAGCATGGTTTCGGAGGGTTAGAGCACCCAACTCATTATAGCAATGGGAAGCAACCAAGTTTTTTACCCTGATTTTGGTGTCTGATATGTTAATAACGTCTATATTACCTGTACTGAGGAAGGCTTTTGGAGGAGTGAAAGATGTGCTACAGTTGATGTCAAACCATGACCCAATGGAGCACCCTGAACCTAAACCGATGCCAAACGGGTATGGAACAGTTACGTTCCCGCACTTGGCTGGGCAGCCAGGCTTGGTTATTATGCTGTTGTTGAGGGTCTGATTTGATATGGCCAAACTCAATGGAAGCCATAAGAGGAGGAGCAGATTGCAATTTTTCTTCATGTTGGTTGATACACCACAAGGTGATTGAGGGATATCACTCTGTCTTGTTTATATACAAAATACAATTTTTTCTTCTCTTTTTAATTATTATTATTATATTCTCTTAGTATCGTGATATTTTTCAAATTCTTACAATAATATTTCGTTAGTATTATGCTTATAGAAAATTATACAATTTTCACGATAATCTTCACTATTTGTATCTCAAATAATATTTGGTTAGCATTTTACTATCTTGCTACAACAACCTCAATGATTCTCTGTACTGGGCAGCTAATTAGTTCTAAAGCATGTTGGGGGGTATAGGTGAAATTAAAAGTTTAAAAATCAACTTCCCAGAAAACTAATAATTTGGGTTTATTGGTTGTAATATACTGTTTCGGACTTCGAGTGGTTTAAGTCATGAACACATTGCAAGTATGAAGAAATTACTATTTATCCAAAAAATATACAGCCCCTGTTTGATGTTAATTATTATGTAAAAATGATGTTTTGTAAAATGTGGGGTTAAAAAGTGGAGAAAATTCAATTTATGTGTAAAAAATTTTATTGTGTGAATGTGTAATAAAAAATCAATATGAAAACTAAATTATTTTATTTTAAAGGGAATGAAACATGTGCATAATCCTTCTCTTTCCGAGAAACTTTACATAGCCAATCCAATTCAAGATGGCATAATCCTTCTCTTTCCAAGAAGCTTTATATATCCAATCCAATTCAAGGGCCTGGAAATTATTCTTTACACAACAATATATAATTCTCTCTCTGTCCAATAAACTTTCTATGCCAACAATATATAATTCTCTCTCTGTCCAATAAACTTTCTATGCCAATTCAAATCATGGCTATATACTTGATGTCATTGTCCTTACTTCGATTCCTCCCTTTTTTTATTCTTAACCATAAAGACAGCAGTTGAATTGTCGCAATATATTCTCAATGGCCTGGAAATAGAATCCATGATTCTAAGCCCAGATATGAAACTCTTTTACTATACACCTTGTGAAGTAGCCTCAAAACAAGCAATGAACTCAGCTTCCATAGTGGAAGCAGCACTCAAGGTCTGCTTAGCAATCTTCCAAGATACAACACCATTGGCCATCATAAAGATGTATCTCGTGTTGATTTGCATGAATCAACACAGTGGGCAAAGTCTGAATCTGAGTAGCCAATTACTTCCAAATTCTAATTCTTTGCAACTCATGGCTTGTGAAAAAGACTCAGGATCATTTATGTCTACAATGTTTTAACCATATTCTTGTAGATATATAACATAATCACTAGAAATTGCTGATCTCTTTGTTCTAGTAGATCTTAATGTCATTCCATTATAATACTTTGAAGAATGTGGTTCAATCGGTTGTTCAAAAGTCCTTGGTAACTCTTGAATTACCTGATCCACTGGGATGTTGTCAGCAACTTGTGGAACGTCAACGATTGGTTGTTTAATACCAGTTTGTACTTGAGAGGTGCTGTGAACAATAACCAATCTATTACTTGAGGTGGAAGGTTGAGATCCTGAATGATCATTCTTAGAAACTATGTACCTGATTTGATCGCTCCCACTGATCAAGTCATTATCAAGAAAATTCACATTTCTTAACTCCACAATCCTAGTGTTGTGAGATGGACAATAGAATCTGTACCAATTTTGACCTTTCGACATATCCAATGAAATACCTACTAATAGTCCTTGGGTCTAGTTTCTTTTTCTTGTGGATTATAAACTCTTACTTCAGATGGGCATCCCGCAGCGCGCATATATTTTCGCACCATGTCCAATAATGTTCTACTTCTTCTTTTTGCTATGCCATTCTGTCTGGTGAACAAAACATGGTGTATTGAAAAACTATCACATTCTCTTGAACAAACTTTGCAAGCGTACCATGTGCTTGTCCATCCTCTGTGCATCTACTATAATATCCCCCACCTCTATCTTAATCATAAGATCTCACAATCTTAATATGCTTTCTGTATTGATAAGATCTCACAATCTTAATCTGCTTTCCGCATTGTTTCTCTACTTCAGCCTTAAAAATCTTAAAGGCATCTAATGCTTCGTTCTTCTTATGAAGCAAGTAGAGATACATGTATCATGAGTAGTCATCTATAAAAGAGATGAAGTATCTCTGACCATGTAAATCCATGTCTGGACTACATATATTAGTATGTATGATTTCTAATATGTTCGAACTCCTATTGGCACCATTCTTTGACTTGTTGGTCCGCTTTCCCTTAATGCAATCTATGCAAGTTTCAAAATCAGTAAAATCAAGAGCATTAAGTACCCCACATATATGGTGCCATAATTCGATCTATGGAGATATGTCCCAATCTCCACGCCATAATTTAGAGGAATCCTCATTCATAACACATCTTTTAATACCAGTTTGAACATGTATAGCATTATAAGTGGTGTTATTTTGCAAATTGAGAGAGAAAAGACCATCAGACAATGTACCATTCCCAACAAGATCAGATTTATAAAATAAATTGAAATTTGATTCTTAAAATTTAAAGGAATAACCCAAAGGTACAAGTCTTGAAACTGAAATCAAATTTCTGGAGAAACATGGAATATAAATGTCTTTTTCAAGTCTAAAATAAAACCACTACTTAAAGTTAAACTATATGTTCCAATAGACTCCACATGTGAACACATCTTGTTTCCTCAATAGATGCCTTGCTCACTTCCCACTGGCTTCTTTAGATTTTGTCTACCTTGCAAGGTATTCAAAATATGGATTGTAGAGCCAGAACCAATCCACCATGTGTTGTACATAACATTAACCATATTAGATTCATAGCAAACAAATGAGATTGGATTGTCTTTATTCTCAAGCCATTCTTGAAATTTAGCGCATTCCTTCTTTACGTGTCCCTTTTTCTTACAGAAAAAACATAAGGATTCCTTCTTAATGTTAGCTTGAGGAGGTATTTTACCTTTCTCCTTCTTATTGGCTTGAGCTCTGTCCTTTTCCCGTGTTGCCAGCATTGCACTTCCCCCTAATTCCATTACGAGCCTCCCTTCCTCTTGAACGCACATGGTCATGAGTTCATTAATTGACCATTTGTCTTTATGTGTGTTGTCGAGATCTTGAAAGGCCCGTATTGAGAAGGGAGAGAATTCAGGATATAGTACACCAGGAAGGGTTCCAATATCTCAACCTCAAGGTTCTTTAGTTGAGCCGCAATATCCCTCATCTGCATGATGTGCTTCAGCACACCTTTCACAGTGGTGAGCATCATGGAAGAGAGCTTCATAATTAGAGTGCTTGCTAGTGCCTTATCTGAAGTGATGAATTGATCACCCATGGCCTTTAGCAAATCAAGGACTTTCTCATGCTGATCCACTGAACCATGTATACTAGCTGAGATATTTGTCTTATGAACATCATACTAAGGCAGTGGATCGTTCCTATCGTTCATAAAGAGCAACTTTATTTGGAGTGCTAGTCGCAGTAATTGCAGGTGGTTTGTCTTTCCTAATTACATAGTCAATGTCCATCCACCTTAGATTGAGTAAAATTCTCTCCTTCAATACTTTATAATTATCACCCTTAAGTTCGGGTAAGTTCGGGAACATCGCAACGGATATCAGAAAAATTTGCAGGTTGACTGGCTGCATATATTATATGCTTATGTTATAACTGAGACTTGATTAAATTTCATTCTTTACCAATGTAAATCATGTTTAAATTAGAATCTATTGACATAAAAATTGATAGAATTATCAAATTATGTACTTAATTCATAATTAGTGAGTATATTATGATCATAATGTGATATTCTATCCTAAACTCTATAATAAGACTATCAAATTATATACTAATTCATAATTCCGGTGGGTATATTATGAAAAGGGTAAAATGACATCTTATCCTAATTAATTATATAAATATAATAAAAAACCTGTGGAATAAAATGTATCATATTAAGTATAATTAATTACAATTTATTTTTCTTCTTGATTATATTTAATGCCATTGAAATTAGCAATAACGTTTAGTGGACTTGTGGGAATATATGTTGTTAGTATTAAAGATATGCATAGCATTGAACGGCCCCTAAATGACAATGTTCTAGTATAACGTCATCCGTGTCACAATATAAATCATCGAAAAAAGTTGTGTCTAAATTATTATAAGTATCCAATTGGCATAACGATCTTACGTTCATGGTATATACCATCTTGAAACAAACAAACAAAGCCACGAACACCATATTTTCTGTCACCAGCAAAGTAACCTTCCCGGCAAGAACAGTGGTAACCACCAGGAGTATTACTGCAAATCTCGTTCTCGTCATCACAGGGATTACTCTCGCATTCATTGATATCTGAAAAACAACAACGAACGTCAGATGCATGTCTATATTGGGGTCATAAGTCATTTTGGTTTATCCATGAACCAACCTTGGCAGCCTGGCTTGAGATATGGATTTCCCACAAATCCACTAGGGCAACTGCAGCGGTATCCCAGACCTGTATCAGAATTAAGACAAATACTGTTTCTTTGACAAGTAAAATTATTGGACTGTTGAGCTTCAGTACAATTTTTATTGTCGATCACCCAATCCAATACCAATGGCACAGTCTCTGAAATTTTCTCCATGATATGTGGATCGGAGAGATCTCTAAAGCGAAATAAGTAGCTATCCTTCTCTCCGAGAAAGGAATAGCCACATTTGTTAAAAGACACGACCTCTGTTTGATTAGATCGTCTGTCCAAGGAAATTAAAAAGCTCTTCAGACCCTTCAGAATGGAGGTCTCACATGAGCAAAATGCATTACATCCACGTCCGCGCCCCTGACTTTCTACCATGGAACGGTAATCACATCCCAGAACTGTTAACACATTTTCATTTGACAAGCTGTAAGGTGTGGTTTCTAGATTGAACCGAACTGTGCTTTGATTGCTTAGAGCACTAAACTCATTATAGCATTCGGAAGCTACCCGGTTTTTTACCCGGATTTTGCTGTCTGATATGTTAATAACCTCTAAATTACCTTCACTGGTAAAGGCTTTTGGAGGATTGAAAGATGTATTGCAGTTCATGTCAAACTGTTGTCCAATGGAACACCCTGAACCTAAACCGATGCCAAACGGGTATGGAACAGTTAAGTTCCCGCACTTGGCTGGGCAGCCAGGCTTGGTTATTATGCTGTTGTTGAGGGTCTGATTTGATATGGCCAAATTCAATGAAAACCATAAGAGGAGGAACAGAAGGTAAGTCTTCATATTGGTTGATACACCACAAGGTGATTAAGGGATGTCCAAATCTGTCTTGTTTATATACAAAATACAATTTTTTCTTCTGTTTTTTTATTTTTATTTTTTGGAAAACATGCAGTGGAGGTCCTACTATCTATTGGTGTTATAACAAGTCTGTATTCAACTTTTACTTTTGGGAGATTAGTCTAACTTCTCAACTTTGTGATTATCTTCACAGTATGCCCTCGTTTGTTTTCCATTATTTTCTCATTAAAATGAAAAATATGATCATTATCCATCACATCAAGTCATCAAATTTGAATTTTTATCTCTTATGTGGGGCCCATAACGATTATATTTTTTTATTTTTATTTTTGCATAAATGTGAACCAAACGGAGCCTAAATTTGTCTAGAAATTTTTGAAATACGCGGAATGGTTCTCTAGCTAACTAATCTCTAACAACTTCAAATTCTTGAGTACACAGGAGATCAGCTGTCAAGTTAAAAATTGCTTGATGCTGAAGTTACCGATTTGAAAGTATTACTAATATCCTAATATTTTATAGATTCTAATGATATTATTTTGTGAGTATTATCATTATAGAAAATTATACAATTTTCACAATTATCTTCAATAATTATATCTCAAATTATATTCATTTAGTATTGTGACTTAGAAATCATCTTGCTAGGACAACTTCAATGACTCCACACGGGGGAGCTCTTGGTTCTCAAACATGTTGGGGGATTAGGTGAAGTTAAGAGGGTGTTTGACACCCATTTTATGGAAAAATAAATTTTAAAATAGTAGATTGATGGAGAATATGTGGATGAAAAACAAAAAAAAAAAAAATTATTTACGTGTAATATTATTTTAATGAAGAATATGTGATTAAAAAAAGAGAGAGAAACATGTATTTTGATAAAAATAATAATCAAAAGGGCCTAAAAGTTTAGAAATCAACTTCTCACAAAACTAATAATTAGGTTTATTTTGTTCGATTATTGAAAAACGAAATTAGACTCCTTGTAGGCGCAGTATACAAGCAGTTCTTGTTCTCTGGTCTGTTTCTGCAATTTATCTCCTTCACAAAACTCTAGAAATGGGGCGATGGAGATTATCAAGGTTGGGGTTCAACATTTTTTTTTTAATAATTTGGTTTATTTTTTTCTGTAATATACTGTATCAAATTTCTCAAGTCTTTTAAAAGTCAACACTAGTTCAGGGATGTTCTCGTATGGGCGCCATTATTGTTGAAAGAATTTATTCTTGTAACACATCACATGGCCCCATGTGAAAGCGAATCCAAATTTATTCATTATACAACAGTAGAATAACCATTTAAAAACTGACATTGTAGTAGTAAATTGTCATAGCATTGACAATTCAAAGACGTTGAAAGATTAAAGTTCCAAAATACCCCCATTCTTCAAACTTAATTTACAAAAATGACACTCTCTATTGGTTGATGGCACTACATTTAATGGAAGGACAATTTGGGAAATTGGAAATTATACCTGCCATCCCACTTACCGAAGTCAACAATCAAGAAGTCACAACAACCGACAAACAATACGTTTGGTTTGTGGTTCTATTTTCTATTTCGAGATATTATTTTTAAATTGTATAAAATACGTTTGGTTTATATGAAAAGCTGTTTTTCAAAACAAAATACTAGAAAATGTATTTGGTTTAAAAATTTTAGAAATAGTTTTATGATATTTTGAAAGGGTTTGGAGGGAGGAAGAGAGAGTGATTGGGAAATTTGAGAAATTTTTTAATTTATTTATCTTGTTTCAAGTTAAAAATTCAAAAAATTGTTTAAATTTTATGTTGTAAAATTTTTCTTATTTTAAAAACGCATTTTTGAAAATAAAATATCAAACACGTTTTAAGTATTTTAAAAAACTAAAAATTATCCAAAACAATAAACAAAACGCACTCAACTTGTTGGTCCCATAGCAACAGCAAGAAACTTTCAGTAGCCAACACAAATTGCCCCAATTGAGCCCCATTATTACTCATTAAAATTCATTACAACAAATTATTTTTCAATTTTTCCAGTAACTATAGCCCCCATGTGTCATACCATTCAGAGAGTACAGCTTGCGTGTACAACAAGAGTAATTAATTGTGCCACAAAATTACGGTACTACCCTTCCAAGCCTTGGCCTCAGTTTTTGGTCAGTGAGGGGCATATTAGTAATTTAGTGTGGACATGGGAGGGTGTTTTTGTCCTTTGGACCAAAGGTTCAATTAAAAAAACGAGATTTTCTGGTAAGTTAGAAGGAAATAACAGATGTGGATCCTACTTAGTCAAAAAAGGAAGTTGAAAGTTGGCAAAAATTTTATTTAATGTAATGGGAAAAAAAGGGGCCAAACAGACCAGATGTGTAGAGGTCAAAAGTATATTTGATACTAAAAATTTTATGCTTCTCTCTTTTTCAAAGAAATTGTCAATAGCTAACCCAAATATATTTTATGCTAAAAACCTAACGACATTATGTGGACAGTAATAAAAATTAGTCTCTCCCTTCAGACGACATGGCTGATATATAGATAAAGGAAATTTACAAAATATACTATAGGGTGTTTCAGCCCCATTTTTATGAAAAAATGTATTTTAGAATAGTTAAATGATAGGAAATGTGTGGTTGAAAAATAAGAGAAAGTTTTTTATTTACGCGTAATATTATTTTAATGAAGAATATGTGGTTGAAAAGAAAAAAAAGAAAAATTTATTTTGAAAAAAAATTTATAGTCAAACAAAGCCGTATAAAAGGTATGATTATATTTTATACACCTTATTTTATAAATGTACATTTTGTTAAGGAAATATAATCCCACATCGGTAAAATATCGAAATAATGACCAATATATAAAGAATTGGGACACTCCTCTTAATAAGGTTAACCTTATTAAGATGGACCCTAAATCTTAACATGGTATCAGAGCCTATTAAGCTCCAACGAGCGATTCGATCCGATTAAGTCTCTAAAAATGAGCACACGGATTTCAAAATTGGTCTGCTCAAACGAGCCACCATTTTGTGGGGGCATGTTAAGGGAATATCATCCCACATCGGTAAAATACCGAAATAATGACCAATATATAAAGAATTGGGACACTCCTCTTAATAAGGTTGACCTTATTAAGATGGACCTCAAATCTTAACACATTTTACATGGTTAATTTTTGCATAATTGTTACAAAAAACATCGTTTGCTGTAAAATTTATAAATATGTCATATTTAAACAGACAAAAATACTCCAGATCACAATAACAAATTATACAATATATATTACATTAATATGTAACCTTTTACATACTATTTTCTAATTATTGATTCTTTATTATTTTTTCTTTAAAAGATTTTTAGCGCTTAAGGTTTATAAAATTTATTTTTATTCCTAAACTCTAACATCAAATCAATAAAAATTAATTTTAATAAATTAATAAACAGTGAACAAATTATAAATACTTTAATTGACTCTTCCAACATTGCAAAAGCAAATAAAAATTCTTAACTTCTATATCCTAATTGATAAAATTTGTTCAATGAATTAAAAAAAAATTTAAAAATCAATTACTGTAGTTTTTTATACTAGTTGTTATTTTGCAGTTATAAATCAATTTTTCATTCATTTAAATCCGGCTAATTTTGCTACTTAAAAAAATTGTTAACAATGCATGCATAATTTTATTTGTATCGTTGTAGATGGATTTTTTTCTTTTCTGGAGAAGCTTCATAGAAGAGAAGAGTTTACAAATATACTAATAAACATATAAAATTTTTGTGTAGAAAATGATATATATATGGTAGAGATTAGAAATATAGTTTACGCTAAAAGTTCAATGACGTTACACATGGATAGTAATAAAAATTAGTCTCCCTCTCCAGCCACCTAGAGAGACCGTACGCTCTTCACTCTAGTCTTTCCACCATCAAAGCCGACAAACATCTTCATAGCCTATGACATGGATGCTATAGATAAAGGAAATTAACAAAATATATTGTGTATATAATGTATAATATAATGTTTAATTATATTTTACACGCCGTATTTATAAATTTACATATTACATACTCCATTTTGTTGCGGAAGGAAGTTTCAATAATATACGTTGATTCTAAACCAGATTATAAAGAACGAGATTTAATGACAATATCGAAGTATACTAGATCTCATCACGAAAACACAAGATTGAATTTGTAAAGAAAAAACATAAAGGGTAAACGCAGAGAAACGATGTTTATTAATTCAACAGTATGAAAAATACAAGACAGATTAGCAATACTGTTTCTATGTTACTCTCTACAAATTGACCAGAAGAGTCTCGTATTTATAGGTCAATCCTAGAAGAGTTCTAAAAGGAAAGAAAATATATTACAGTTAGGAGACCCAATTTTAACAAGATTTTGTTTCTTTAGTCAACTTAGTTTCCTTAAACCCTACGTTAATATTTTCATAGTCCAAGTCGAATACGTCTCTTCAAAAGACCCCTATTTGAGTCATACTCCTAACAATCTCCACCTTGACTCAAATTTCGGTGATACGAATGAAACTCCTAGATTTCAAATTCATCTGCATTGAAATTAACTGGCCGAATATCCTCAACAGAGTAACCACTCCATATAAACCAAATACTCATCCTCTGTTCGGCGTCCACAATTGACACCTGAACCTGATCCCCAAGGTTCCCAAATCTACCAAGGAATTAATGTTACTCACATAGAGCCGAAGCGCACTCTGTATCAAGAACCAAACCAAATGCATGATCAGAAGGTCCCTTGTTGGAACTGTCGCCTTCAACATTCCCAAAAGCATCCTAGATATTACTGACGCCACGGTACCTACGCTTGATGAGTCCTACCCCAGCAATTGAACACAATGTACCCACCAAAGTTGGTGTCAAAGTGGAATCACCAACGTTTTCCCTAGCAATGTTCTGAATCGACTCAAAGCCCAACACAAGAGGTACTGTACCAAACTAAACTTCCACCACGGTACAAAATTTGTTCAAATGTCTCCTCTTAACTCGTTCTGCACTCCTCTGCAAAATGCACAACTGGAATTTTTTCCGTCCCTCCAGTACAACTCAGACTCCCTTTTAGACCTTCAAGACTCTACCTCCTCTAGAGAATTCATATCCTTTTGCATCCAGGGTAGCGAAATGAGATTCTTTTTCAGGTTAGGAACATGTCGAATC